AAGTATCATATGGGCTTTTAGGTCTTTTTCAGAACATGTAATAAAGACTTTTGGATAAAATTGTACAGCTGATTAAGACAGGCACCACATTTAATGCTTTGTTAAAATAGTTTTAAAGGCTTATCAGAAAATCCATAATACCTTTTTGGCATTGCTCTTTTTCAAACATATATCATGTAAAATATCTTGTGTGGCTAGAAGCAATGCACAGTAGAAATATTATGACATGTTAGGAAGGAAACAGTTGCTGCCCCACACTGTGTTGTGTTTTCTTCTGTACTCATTTAATCATCTCTATAACCCTGTATGGTAAGATAGAGAATAGATGAGGGAATAGATGCTTACAGAGTTGACATAACTTGGTGTGGGATCCAAAGGCAAAGTTAATACATAGAGGATCACAAATGAAAATCTGTGGCTTTCTGATTCAAAGGAACTCCATACAAACAGATTCTTAAAGTCACTGAAATGAAGCACATTTTCACTCAATGATTTCTTCCCGTTGTCTGTGACTACTTAGAGACTTCTAAAGAATTCCCATCTTCTCACCACACTCATCAAACTGATAGAAACTCTAAGCCCTAAACAAAAACAATCTTAAATTTACAATATTAGAAGGATCCTGGAGCTCTGGTGGCATAGTGCCTAAGGCATTTGACTGCTAACCAGAAGGCTGGCAAGCCCACCCTGAGAAGGAAGACTGGGCAATCTGAGATACCACCTTGGAAACCAAAGGAGGGGTCACTATGAGTTGAAATCAACTCAACGGCAGTGGGTTTGGTTTTTGGTTTTGCCTTTCATTGTGAATTTCCTCTCTGTTCTTTTCTGTCTAGGTTTAAAAATATGGATTGTTTTTGTTGTTCTAAATGCAAATCTAATTGCATAGAGACACCTGGGCAAAGTTGCTGTTCTTCAAAGTGCTTTTAGTGCTACTCACATTCAATAAATGAATGGAAAAAGAAAAGAAAAACAACAAACCCTAAATTCTGAGTCACTGTGTTGCCAGTACAGGCTGTAAACAAACAAGAACTCAAACTGTGTTACCGGGGATATGAATACTTCCAGAGCTGAATTCTTCAGGCCCTCAACTTTTACAAGTCCTCAGGTAAGATGCTGCAATGAGTAGTCTTTCATCATCTCCTTGTCTTTGATATGTCTTAAAGTCAGCTAGGTTTCCTGCTGGGTGGAGATGTTTTCTCCTTAAGTTGTGTGTCTTGGCTCTTTTCAATAGATATGTTTTTCTCCCACTCTAACTGCTTTCCTTCTCCAGCCTTTTTTTTTTTTTTTAAATCTAGAAATGTTTTTCTTTTTTGTTCCAGTTAAGTCAGCATCTCTACTTAAATAGTCAGCAATCTGTTTCAACCTGGATTTTGTCCCAAAATTTTCTATATTAAACTTAGAATACCAGGCCTGGGCAAATGTTATTTCAGTAAAACATAATCAGCAACTCACACTTAACATGAGATTGGCATGTACAGAACTCATATGTGATACACAGGTAAGGAGCATGTAACCTCAGTGATCAGCATGCAGGATGATTCCAGAAAAGTTTGATCCTGAGGATCTAATGCTAGCCTCTGATTTAGGACCACTCTGTCCTTTTATAGATTAAAGTTGAGTTAAAGTAACAATACTGGACTAAATATCTTCTGATATTTTAAATCTTCACCTCCCTGAGTTTGACTCAAATAGGACAGGTTATTTAAAGCACTGAGCTTGTGCATGGGTAGACATTTGGCTTAGTGCACTGTCCTTCACATCTGGGTTTTTATAAAAAGCAATTTAATGTGTCCTCAATAACGGTTTTGTTGGACAGAGCTTACATTACTTCCTATGTATGTTCTACGGATAAAAACCAAAGCATGGCTAATGATGCCATTACACGTTATAGCACAAAATGCTAGCTGACATTCTATTGCTTTTAAAGTTAGGTGACATTACTGATGAAGGAAAACACAGTGTCATAGTGGGTAACAACAATTTTTTACTGGGGAATGTAGCTACCTAGCAAAT